GGGGGGGGGCGCGGGCGCTCCGGGGCCGTGCGCGCGTGCCGCGCCGCTCACGGCGCTGCCGCGCTCTCGCCCGCAGGCCCGTGGCCAGGACGTCGCTGTCGTCGCCGCCGTGGCCCGAGGTGGAGCTGCCCGAGCGGGCGCAGGAGGCGGCGCAGCACGCGGGTGGGTGAGCGGCGCATGGCGGGCCCGGCGGCCGTGGGGCCCTCCCTGCCCCACGGCCACCCCTCCCGTGACGGCGCGGCCCGGGGCGGGCGCGGGGGGGTTGTGGCTGCCCTGATTCGTCTTGGACACGTTGAGCTCTGCGTTGTGGTGTCCTGCCAGCTGCAGAAACAGCCGTGTATATAACTTAGCAAGGGAATCTGCTTGTTCCTGGCCAAGAGCAAAATCATAGGCCAGCGTTTTCACACGCAGCTCTACGAATAGGCCCCCAAGCACCTAGTGTTTCCCACTCCAAGATACCCCCAGGATACCCTAGGCTGTGGYAGAAGCCGCGAGCAGGCTGCGCTCCCAGTGCACCCCACATGCTCTCTGGAAGGGTTTACCTCCCTGCCAGTACCRGGGAGCCAGTGGTTTAGAGCTAAAATAAACGTAATTTCTTGTATCCTATTGGGCAACTGAGRGCATACCAGAGAGGAGGGGATCGTGGTTTTACTTGGAACTTGGTGGCACTTCACTGTGTGCCACAGGAGAGCACCCAGTTACCTTTCCTTCCTCGTCAGCAGTTCTAGCAACCCAGGAGCTCAGCTTTGCTCTGCTTTGTGCCCTGGAGTGGCAGCTGCAGTGCAAAATCATTTCCATTCTAACCTCTGTTTCTCAGTGGTGCTTACCCATTAACAGTTTGTGTGCATTGTGTTTAAAACTGAACACACTTACTTCCTGTAAGGGCTGGATTTGATTTGACCTGTTTCTAAATTCTTGTCTGTCCCACATAGTTATTATATTTTGTTTGCATTCTCAGGAAAAAAAATGATTCATCTGCTTTTGAGGACAGTGAAGGAAAACTCCTTTCCAGTTATAGAACAGTTCTTATTTTCCTTAAGAATGCAAGGGGATAGAAAACTGCAATTTGGAAGGGAACAGTACTCATTAAGCCCAACCTTTCCTGTAAAGTCTGGCTTTGTCCCGACCATGAAGAGAGCTGACCACAGGAAACAGTGTTTTTGGTGTGTGCAGCGCCTCGTCCCAGGGATTTGTTCTGCCTCTGGCACCCGCTCTGTGTATGTATGTGTGGGAAGAGCCCTTCTGCACGGGGTTAAAGGAGAGATCTGCCCTGACTGTTACAGGTACAAGTTCTCAGCATGGGCCTTTCTGTTAACTTCCCCAGCACTTACTCCTCCGTATTTTGCAGAGCTCTTCCTGACRTTCGTGGACACCTTACAAAGTCTCCAGAGGCATCTATTTTCTGGATATTGCTGGGAGATTAGGGAGAGCCCCTTTYCTGGTGCATGAAGAGGCTGTCTCCTCCAGAACACTTGATGTTTGCAGTACAGGCCTTAGGGGATGCCTGAGAAAYGGGTTGTATCTGCATTAGGTGTGTGCTTAGATAGGGCTTTGCCAGCAGCTAATATTCAAGCAGGCCATAGGTTTATGGGAAAGGAGACTTGCTCCATGTATAGGAAGCAGCAAAGTCCTTTGCCAAAGGATTCCAGGGCGAGAGCAGTTTCTGTGGGAGAGCCGGGTGGCTGGAAGAGTCCTGAGCAGTTTCTCACGCCTCGCCGGGTTGTTTTTCCCCGCCGCCGGCTCGTTCCCCACAGAGCTGGTGCAGAAGGTGAACGAGCTGATCGCGACGGGGCAGTACGGGCGGCTCTTCGCTGTGGTCCACTTCGCCAGCAAGCAATGGAAGGTGACCAGCGAAGACTTGATTATGATGGACAACGAGCTGGAGGCTGAGTGTGGGGACCGCATCCGCCTGGAAAAGGTAACGGGTCTTGGTTCCGCAGGCTCAGTGCTGCGTGCAGGGCACAAACAAGTTGTCTGCAAATGTTTCCTGAGGCAAAAAGTGATGGCCAGTTTCTGATAAGTTCCAAGGAGCTTCTGTTGGATCCAGCTGTTAGCTTGGCCTTCATTTTGTTGCAGTTTCAGTTACCCTGTTAGCAATAATGTTGCTGTGGTTTCCCCTGAACAGGGCTGGACTGAGTTGCCCCAGGCTCTGTTAGGAGGCAGATGTTTGTTGTGCTGACTTCATGCAAAAGGAGAAAARTAGATCTGTTGTTTTTGGAGATGGCACCTAAGAGTGGTGTTTGCCTTGGGACTGCAGCACCTAAAACACTTGGAGTACTCCCAGGGGCATCGCTTTGTAAGATCCTTATCGGACCAAGTGTGTCAGGCAGAGGGAGGCAGATGGGACATTTACAGGGAATAACTGCCAGAATGCAATTTAGTGTCTTTATCCTTGGCTAGTTACCCAATGGTAACTAGCATGGGCTTGTACAGCCTTGTTATTCCAAATCTGAAATGAAAGACTGAAGCAGGATGCTGCTGGCTTCATCTTTGGTTGGTTTAGAGCAATGCAGAATGTTTGGGGAGATAGAGGCAACTTTACCTTTATGTATTTGATGCTTTAAGGTCCAGTTGTGAGGCAGCTTTTCATCTGTCCTCTCCCTGCATCCTTGGCTGCAGCCAGAGAGATTCACATGGAGTAGCCAGATAGGAATGCAAGGACCTAGAGAGGAAAAGAATGTCTAAATGCATGCCTAATCATGGTCATAACCTCCCTGAGATTTCACTGACAAGTTATCCGTCTAAGGCAATATTCAGAACATTTATTGGCCATATGTGCATTGCTTTTAACTGCTGCCATGCAGTTAGTGTGGGAGGGAGGCAGGCTGCAAGCAGATACCCCGCTCCTGCACAGAGCCAGGTTGTTCAAACGTCCTGGACAAAAGAGCTGGTCCCTGTGGTTTTGACGTCTGTTTCTTTATCACCCAACTTGGGGCCTCAGGCAGAAGACTGAGCAAAGTGTTTCACCAGAGCAGACGGAGCAAGAGCTCTAAAGTCCCACAATTTTAAGAGCTGCCGTTCATTCAGATCCCATGCAAGGCATATTTTTTTTTTCTCCCCTCTGTGGCTCTTCCTGTCTTTACGACCCAGAACAGAAACGTTCAGTGTGTTCTGATCAGTGTGAAAGATACTTTTAAAGTAACTTTTTGTAGGGCAAACCGTGGGGGAGCATCGATTTAACAAGACTGTTTCTTGGCTGTTAGCTGCCTTTTTTCCCCATCCCTGTGCAGTAACAACTYGACGTTTTGAAATGTGTCAAGGGCTGTTTGCAGCCAGTTTGGCTCCTTCACGGCGACTGCAGAGCTTGGGTGGTAGCGTTTGCGTTTCCGTGTGGTGAGCTGTTGATGTCTCTGATGAAGCTGCTTTCTGCAGGTTTTGCTGGTCGGTGCTGACGACTTCACGCTGATTGGAAGGCCGCTCCTGGGGTAAGGTGCCTTGCACAAGAATTACTCTGAATTCAAATCTTGAGCTTATTTGTAGCTCCAGGGCTCCCATGGTCTCCCAACTGAAGAGCAGCCTCGTGCCAGCCCTTTTCCCAGCTCTGTGGCTTCCGAAAGAATTGCCGATAAATCATAAACCTCTTCAAGCTCTGCCCATTCCTGCGGTGCCAGGACAGAGCGGCAGTGCTCGTTCCTAAGGTAGCTGTAGGATATTCACCTCTTCCGTAGTGCTTAATGTTTGCACAAATGAGCAGTAGATCTTGCTCTTCAGCATCTTTGCTCCCTAACCCTAATTGCAGTGACAGTCTCTTAGAACAACCCAGAAATCCTTTCCGTGAGCTTGAGGGGAGGGAAGTGATTTTGTGTTTTTGTTTCTAACCCGTTTCCTTTTGCCCTCATCCTAACCCTGCAGGCCTTCATCCTTACTTAGAGTTAGTGTAATTCTGCCTTCCTGGCAGGTGTGTGACCCCAACAACCACAGAATTGGGAAACAGGAGTTTCACCTCGTGGCCTCAGCTCAATTCTAGTACTGTAGGACTTGCTGTAATAACTGGCAGTACGGCTGGTTCTTCAGCCTTTCCTTCACCAAAATCAGCAGCGTGTGCACTAGGTGGTGGTGTTTCCATTCCTAGCACTCACCAGAGCAAAGCCACAAACTGTGGTTTTCCCTAGAACTGTCAGTTTCAATGATAAAACGCAGGTCAAGGTAAGGTGGGTTGGGAGAGGGGAGTGTCTGGGAGCTTTTGCCCTGTTGCAGGCTAAACTCCCCATTCAGCAGCATTAGCTTGGGTGCAGCAGCTGAGGCAGAGGACGGTATGGTGAAGAGCATCCTGTACATCCTGGAAGTATTTTCTGGTGATTTATAGATTCATGATAGAAATACCGTGTGGGTTCAGGTTGGTTTTCTTCTGATAAGTTGTCAGGATTTAACAGTACTCTAAAATGTTTCTGTAGTTCCTTATAAGACTTTGGCTGCACTGCTGCTAGCAGTGGGATTCTTGGTTGCATGGAATTTGGGAATCTGGCAGCTTTTCAAATGATGCTCTTGGGATGTGGGGTAGCAGACCCTTAGGAGCCTGTGTGCTATTACCAACCTTTCCATCTGTGGAAGGGGACAGGAAGAGRGAAATCGTTATTAGGAGTTGAAAACATCATCTTGCAAGAGCTCAGAAGAAAGCCCAGTGTAGGAGCACCGTCCTTGGCCAGACACTGCTAGCTAACACTTCTGAAATGTGTTTTTGCAGCTCTGTTTTACTGACTGGAGGACTTGGCACGTGCCCAGTGACCCAGGAGTTCTGGGACAAGAAGAAAAACCTGCTGCTTGATCCCTGCCAGCAATCTAAGTGCATGAAAAGCCTCCTAAGTTGTTTGGGGCAGATCAGGCTGCACATCTGCCAGCGTTAGCTTAAACTTGGGTAACTTTGGCAGAGGAGGATCRGGAGGAGGAGATGGCTGCTGTCAGGGGAAAAAAAAAGGTGCTGGGGAAGAACCCTCCTGCCTCATGGAGCTGCGGGGAACCCAGTGTTTTGGAGGCCTCGCAAACTGTAATTCTTTGGCACGGTTCCCAGTTGTGCCTAAACCACAAAAGTTTTGGAGGAGAGAGAAGAGCTCAGATGCAAACAAAGGCTTTGCTGTTCTTTTGRTTTTTCTTTTTCCCTGTTCTTTCAAAATAAGCACATCAGTGACCGCCTGCAGCAGCATCTACGCAAGGCTGCTCGTTACAACTGCACTCCCGTGCGAGCGTGGAGGTGGCTGGGAGCTTGTCCTGGTTTGGACAGATGGTCGTGTTTCGGTTTTCTCTAGCAGTCAGATGCCTCCCAAAGCTTTGAAAACCAGCAATGCAGTAAGCCTTGTGTGCGTGGCCAAGGCAGTTCTGGGAACTTCTGGCTGACTTTTGTGCTGGCATTCGTCAGGTTTTGTCTCTGCCCTAACGACTTGTTGTCTGCTGGTCAGCTAGCGCGAGGGCAGYCAGCATGTGTCACCCTGCTGAGCCTGGCTGTGTGACACGGGGCTTGCTGTGCACTTCGGAGTGGCCCTTGAAGCACGTGGGCTGGGCAGGTTTGCATTGCAGCTCCTCGAGAGCGGAGCGAAGAGAATGATCCGGTGGAGGATGTTTTTTCATGAAGCTCTTTGCCACGGAAGACAGCAGGCCTGACTGCCTCAGCTGACAACATAGTTCAGACATCTGGGATGTGTTCTGTGGGTTTTTGGGCCATTCCCAAAAGTTGGACAAATCCTGTCTAGATCTCGTTTTACTGAGTGCTTTTCTGTTCCGCATTGGTTCCTGCCCTACTTCAGCCCTGGGGCCTCCAGCCACAGGCTTGAAGCCTGGGCGCCCTGAGGGGGCCGCGCCAGCCCCCCGGAGCGGTGCGTGGGGCTGCTGGGGGCCGCCTGCCAGCTGCTCCGCATCCACATCCGCGCCACCCTCACCTCGCCGCTGCCCCACGGAATCTGCCCCGGCCYGGCAGGGAGGGCTGGTGCTGCAAGGATGCGGCTGTGCCGCTGCGAGCAGTGGCTCCCCAAAGAGCAGCACGGAGTTGTCGGTGACCCAGTCACTACCTCTGGCCCGGCCAGCTTCCAGCTTTTCCATGTGATCATCATTAGCTGTTTTTTGGCGTGCCCGTACAGTCCAAGCCTGGGAGAAGTCAGTGGGAGTTTGGCCCTCTCTTTGCCTCCAGCAGACAGGAATTAGACCCAGTAAACCGCAAGCTCCCTAATTATGGTGGTGAAACTCAGCCAGCCCCGGCAGTGCCATTCACTTCCTGATTTCATTGCTAGATTTGCAGTGCCCTGTGTCTGTGTGGTGCTCTTGGTCCTRTCCTTGGGCTGAGCTTGGCCAGCATCCCTGAGCCAAGAGGCTGGGGCCTTCCCACGGTCTCCAACATCTCAGTTGCCTTGTGGCCATTTCACAGAATCACAGAATATTCAAGGTTGGAAGGGACCTCTAGAGATCATCGCACCGAGCCGTGGATTAAAACCACACGTCCCTGAGCACCGCTCTGCTCTTGTCTGAAGGGAGGCAAGAGGAGAGAGCAGCCCGCGAGCCTGTCCTTGGGTGCAGGCGTCAGGTAGTCGTGTTTCCTGGCTSTGGTGTTTCTCAGACAGTGGGAAAGCAGAGCAGAGCTCTTCACATGTGGATAGGACGGTGTCTCCCTGCGCGCTGTCAGATACCTGCACGAGGCTGAGGCATGTTGGCCTGGGCTGATGAGGGAATGTGGAGGGCAGAATCGTGATTTCTGGTCATGTATGATGGAAACTATTCGTCTTTCCAATCCAGTCCTTGCAGAAAGCAATGGGGAGAGGGAATTTGTGCTTGCTGAGAGCTCACATGTGGGTGAAACGTCAGCCAGACACCRTCCTCTGCTCCGAGCTGCAGTCAACAGGCAGGGCAGGGCAGGAGCAGCAGGCAGGCGAGGGGCTCGCTGAGCAGCCCCTGCGCTCTGCTTCCTGCCCACACGTTGGGCTGCAGCTGCTCGTGGGACACGTCTTTTGAGGGAGTCCTTTAGGCAAGTGAGGGGAGATGTTGTCACACCTGGCTCTGAGGAACAGGAAGGGCTCCTGTGTTGACCAGACAAGCACAGGAAAACATCCCGTGGTCGGGTTTCACTTTGCTGTAAGTGCAGCAGAAAGCGCAGAACCGAATAACTTGCCAGGAGAATCCGCCTCCCTGTAGCCCTGCAAGTTCCTGCAGGCTCTGGCTGCTACTGTGTCCTCGACYGTTTCTGATCTTAGCCCTGGTGTGACAGAGCCCTGTCCTACACACCAGGGCGTTGCTTGGCYGATCCATGGAGCACCTCAAACAAACAGGCAGATTTCCCTCTTCTCCCCCTCGCTTAGCAGCTCCTGCAGACCTGGGCTTTGCAAGGCAGGACACATTGCTCGTGTGTGGCTCTGCCCCAGAAACCAGTGGTAGGAGAACATAGAAAGGAGCACCTGTAATTTTTGTAATTCTGTCTTTGTTTTTAAGGAAGGAGCTCGTCCGCGTGGAGGCTACGGTGATCGAAAAGACGGAGTCGTGGCCAAAAATCAGCATGCGCTTTTGGAAGAGGCACAACTATCAAAGGATGAGAGGTAGGTGGGAAAGAGCAGCGCGGTTCCCGCCTGCCGCCGCGTGGGAGGGCCGCTCACTGAGCGCCAGGGCCCGTCTGCTGCGCCCTTCCCTGCCCAGTGTCCCTGGCAGGAGCAGGAGCCAAGGCGTTGGGCACACAGCGGCTCTGTTCCCTGCCTCCAGCACCCTCAGTTGGGTGTCTTCGCAGAAAAACTTCTTTTTTTTCAAGGGGGATAGAGGGGAAGAGAGATTTACAGGGCAGAGAAGCAGTGTTGTTCTTCCAGAGCCTCGCATGTAAGACAGGTAGTTGCAGATGTTAAAAGCCTCAACGCTCCCATAGCAGATGTTTTGTTTATCACATCCCTACTCCTTGGATATGACCGAAACTAGAAGATGATGATGGATGTTTGGGGCAGGACGAATGAAATCCCTGGCGCGTGGGCCAAGCTCACCCTGCCTGGAGCCTCCCTCGTGCCCGGCGCCGGYGCGCGGCAGCGCTGCCCCTGCTCAAGCCCGTCACACCTTGGCGTCCTCAGCAGAGCAGCGGGAGCCTCTTGAGACCCGCGCGCAGGTCTGGCCTCTCAGCTGATTGTTTTTCTTCTCTCTTTTTGTTCTTTTCCAGTCACCAGGAACCCGCAGACTGTCCTCCGGATAAACACCATAGACATTTTCCCTGCTTTGCTATGACTGATTGACTCGAGTTGTGAAGCAGGAGTAWATCTCCAGTGAGGCAGTTATGGAAATAAAAGCACCCGGTCGTTGGAACGCTTCCTGTTATTGTCTGAAATGGAAATCTATAGGTACTTTCTCTTTTTAAAGAAAAAAGGAAAAGAAAAATGATGTATTTGTGTTGAAACTATTATTTCAGCCTTGATGGTGTTTATTTGTTAGGAGTCTTAGACACGCTGGGACCCACTGCCAGCTGACAAGCTGTTTCATGCCGAGAGCCGCACGCCTCTGCGGGTGCTCCCAGCTGCTCTARGAAATCAGGTTCTCAACTGCCCTGGGCAGCGTCCTGCTGTGGGCTGAGCTGCCCCGTCCTCAGCAGCGTCGCTGCACCGTGAGCAGGGCCCAGGCCTGGCTCTGCCCACGCCGCTTTGCCCTCCGGCAACTCTCGTTGCGCTCCTGCACTGCGGTGATGTAGAGAGAGGCGAGTGTTCTTGTAAGAGTGCTGAGTGTGTTTGTTGTTGTCGTGAGAGGACAGTGTAAAAAAGCCTTGACAAGGTTCCTGCAGCGCTCCTTGAAGTTGATATAATGCTGGTGTTTTCTGGCTTCAGGGAATAGTTCAGCGTGGCCCACAGCAAACATGGAGCTGACAGAGCAGGGAAAATTGCGGACTGCTGGGTCCCGGGTCTGCTCCCAGGCCATGCGAAGCAGCACAGGCCCCTGAAGATCAGCGAGTGGAGCTGCAGCTCTGAAATGATTCTCTCACAGGTGGGCCAGCCTATTGCCCAGCAGCACCTTGTATGTGTGTTCACACACTYGGTGCCTCACCTACCGAGCAGGGTTTGATTTCCAGCTCTCAGGGTTTCCTTTCCTTTACTGGCTGCTGGGTTATGGGTGACTGTGGCTGTGGCTGGACCGGTCCCAGCTGCTGCTGCCTTGGGTAGCTGTGTCCCGCGTGCCCCTCTCTGAGCTCTCCGAAGGCAAGGCGGGGGAACCTGCCTCGAGATCCTCGCCCTCTGGTGTGGCCACCTCCTTCCGCCATCCCAAAGGTGGCTCCAGCTCTGTGCTGGCACCAGGGATCCCTGCAGATAGGAGAGCAGGAACGTGTTGTGCCGAGTGGCTGGCACAGAGCCCGCCAGCGCGGCCCGGCGCAGCTACTGCCTTCCCTGTGCAGCCCGCAGCGGAAGCGGCCGTGCCAGCACAGGCAGGACGTTTTCCTGGAAATCTCACAGTCCTTGTCCTCACCTCCTTATCTCCTCTCAGTGCCCCAAGGTGAGGATGCCGGGATGTGAAGGTACTGGACACCAAGATGTGAAGATGCCGGCACGCGGGATGCGAAGCCCGTAGCCCTGCGCTGCCCTGTGCTGGGCTTTGGGGGCAGGCAGCAAGCAGGAGAGCGCGGCGGGAGCGGCTCCCRCTGCTCGTCCTAGGGGCTCGCTCTGCACAGCGTCTGACCGGGTTTGGAATTTGCTCCGTGACGGGGGTTCTCTCCCTTCCCCTGGCAGGTGGCTGCTCGCTCGCGAGCGTGTCTCGCAGCAGGGCCCTCGCGCAGGGTTCGCCGCCCCGGCGCGCGCYGCCAGCATCGGTGCCGCTGAGGCAGCGAAGCAGCTTGAGTCGCTCCTGGGACGTCTCGTGCAGGCCTCCGGGTGGAAGGGAAGTGCTGCTAATGTGCCCTGTGGTATTTCTTTTTTTTCTGTTCCCGTCTGCTTTGCAAAGATGCCTTTGAAGTTGTGCGCGGAGCCAGATTTATTTTCTCAGCGTGATCCGGATGCGTTTGGCTGCACATTGACACGCGCCTTGGCGCTTGGGGCTGAGCAGCAGGCGGGCGCCGCCGGGAGCTTGTGCTGGTTTCATTCCCCTTTCTTCCCCCTCTACGTGTGGCTGGAGGAATCAGCCCCCGGATGGAGGGCCCGACCCATTGCAAAGCCTTTGCGGGGAGGCCYGAGGACAATGGGCAGGCCCAGCTGGGGCCGGCAGCGCGAGCGGTGCCTTTCGTCTCCCTTATCTCCTCCTGCCTCTAAAACCCATGGAAATGTGAGTGGGATGCGGCCCCAAGCTGCTAAGGCCGTGCTTGGCCCTGTGAAGCAGAGACCATTTTTGATTCTTGCACAAACTGAGAAAGGAGCGGGTCCTAACCCACTTTCTTGTGGCATTTTATCTTTGCTGTAGCAACTGGAACTATTGGGTTCGGCTTTGAGACACCATAGTTATTTTGGAAGGAGGGTCTAGGCTTGGAGGTGCTTTTTTCTGCCTAAATCTTTTACCTCTTGCACCTCCAACTCATTGAACAGAGAGAACGAAGGGCCCAGCTTTTCCTTTACCTTCTTCTTTAAACTGAAAATAAACACGCTGGCTGTTTGCCTTTCAGAGGCAGCCAAGTTTGGATTTGGTTGGATCTCAAAATAGCCAAGGGTCCAACGGGAATCAAGGTCAGTGCGTGTGATGGGCAGCCCGTGAGCCGAGCCTGCGGCCCGAGGCGACACTGCTCTTTGCCTGGGGGCAACTTTTCCTGTCAGCCGGATCTGTGTGCGCGGGGATGTGGTTGTGGGTGAAACTGGCCGCCTTCCCTATGCAAACTCAGCACCTTTGAGAAGTGAAACCGCACGCGTGGAATAGCCGGGCCACAAATATTTCAGCAGAAGACAACATCTCCACCCCACCTACTTTCAGCTGGCTCCGCTGCAGGTGCGGTGTCGCCTTGGAAGAAGTGATTTGTGTGGTGGTAGCAGATGCCGAAGCCTCATTCCATGGCAGTCTGGCCAAAGGACCCCGCACAAATGTGGCTCAGCACGTGAGCTGCAAGCCCACAAGCTGCCATGAACCCAGGCCAAGATAAATATGGATTTGCCCGTGGAACCCAAATGCAGGAGCCGCAAGGGCTGCAGGCAGCGGGGGAAATAAACCTGCCCAAATCTGCAGGTAGTGCCTGGCTGCACTTCCTCACCTTGGGAGGCAACAGGGATGTGATAGTGGGGGCCRGATAGGGTGTAGATTTGGGAAGTCTCCTCGGATCTGTTTCCATGTCCCTAGAGATCCATGTCTTTTTTAAAACAGTTGCACTTAAGGCAGGTCAGGACCCGCAGCTTTGGGCTGTCGGCTGTGGTTGGAGTTGGCCGTGTGCTCAAGATGCTGCTTGAGAGGGACTGGCAGACATCTCATTTCCATAGGAAATCAGGCTAAAAATAGRAAAGCAACATAACAGGACTGCTTTTTTGTTTGCTTTTTTCCCCTGCCCTTCCCCTCCTCAAGCTGGGAATGAGCATTTGTCCTCAATGTGAGGACTGGAGCTGCTGCCGTTGTCTTCTGGCCTCCAGATGCAGTCGATGCTGCACCAGATGGACCTGCGCGGCCGTCCYGCTCCAGCCGGCGCGGCATCCCTGTGGATCCGTCAGCGGATACGGGTCCCCAGGCCGTGCTGAGGGCTCGGGGCGCTGCCGTCGTGTCCTTGGCTGAAGGTGAGGCGCCTGCTTGAGCCCCTGGTTGTGCTCCACTGTCTTCTGCGGGCACCGGCCCGGCTCGGTTTGACACGTGATACGGGCTCTAAATATAGGGCAGGTCTCATGTTGCCTTGAGCGCGGTCCAAGGCGGCGCAGATGAGCCGCGCTGCGCCGTGCCACGAGCAGCGTCGCCCGGGTCTGCTGGACAYGGGGATGCCAGAGCAGTGACTAAATCCTTGAGAAAGGAGGCTGGGCCCCGGCTGCTGCCTTGGTTGGGACTCCTCAGCCTGTGTCACCTGTTTGTCCAGGTGGAGTCAAGGACGGGGGACACTGGGGTGAATTTGGGCCCGCTCAGGGGCTCGGGCCAGGTGTGCAGCCAGGCTGGGTTGGAGGCCCAAGGCCCCGTCCTCACATTTTGGTACCAAGAGAGCAGCCAAAACCAGGTTTCGATGCCAACCTCAGCCACCCCTTTGAGGACACAGGGAGAGTCACAGGTTGCTCCWCACCTTGCGAGAGCTGTGGGTGCGAAAGGCGCCCGGGGAGCAGCAGGAATCGCCGTGAGCGGGATGTTCCCACCGGGGGATACTTGGGAGCGGGAGGTGGGCAGAGCCTCGCAGAGCCCCCCCAGCGGGAGCGAGGCGAAGGGGGGATGTCGCCACCGCCTGCTCGCAGTGAGGAGGAGGAGGAGGCAGCGCGCAGGCCGGGGCGGAGCGCGGCGCGGCGCGAGCAGCGGCAGCATGAGCTTCCCGCGGCCGCTGCGGCGCTCGGCCAGCCTGAGCCCCGCGCGCAGCCTGCGCCTCGTCGTGCTGGGCCAGGGCGCCGTGGGCAAGACCGGTAGGAAGCAGCCTGGGGGGTCCCGACTCTGGTGAGCGGGAGGGAAAGTTGCTCTGGACGCTGCAGGGAGGCGGGTTTTGGAGCAGGGGGGTGGACGGGGTCCGGGAGCTGCTTGTGCTCCGAAGAGCCGGGAAAAGCTGGGCGTAGGGGACAAGAGCAAGTTGGGTCCCTGCRGTGGGAGTTGGACCCAGGAGCGGTCGGGCCAAAACGGGAAGGAGCCGGGGGGGGGTCCCACGCGCCCTGGCTGGAGGGGGAATAATTCCTTATATGGCCCCCGGGGACGCGCTCATGCGGCCGTGTCTTCATCCAACGCTTCCCACCAGCCGACGGAGGCGGCCGTGGTCAGCCCGCACACGACCCGGCCACCTGACTGACCCCGGCTCCCCGTGCCCCGTTCCCTGACTCCCCGTGCCCCATTCCCCGACTCCCAGTGCACGGGAAGTGTCCTGGCTGCACAAGGGGAGGAGGAGGAGAAGGAGGAGGCGGCCACCTTGGGATGGAGCCACAGCCAAGTGCTGGGAGGCGACATCCACCCTTCTGTCGGGGCAGGCACATCTGCACCTCCCTTCACCCCCATTACGTCCCGCAATCCCATCCAGCTTTTCCTGGTGTGTTTTGGGTTTTGTTTTGCTGTTTTTACTGCTTTTTCTTCCCCCCAGCACTAACCGTGAGGTTCATCACCCGGAGGTTCATCGGCGACTATGACCCAACGCTGGGTAGGCAAAGCCCTCCTTCCCCYCTCTCCTGCCGCCGTGGCTTCAGCTCCCCGTTTTCACGTATATACGTGTGTGTACATATATATATTTATGTATTTTTTATTATTATTTCACTTTATTCCTGCGGTGGGGACGTGTGGTGGGTGGTGTCAGAGGCGCTTGCGGCAGCACAACCCACTGCTCCAGCAGTGCTTCTCAGGCTGGCTCTTCTCCCCTTCTGCATCCCTGTCCCAGAAATGATTTACAGGCACGTGGCCGTCATCGAYGGGGACTCGGTGCACCTGGAGATCCTGGACACGGCCGGCCAGGTGAGGCGGGAGGCCCCTGGGCGCGGGGCGCAYGCGACGCAGGGGCGCCCGGCCCCGCGCTCAGCCCTGCTGCCTGCGCCAGGAGGAAGACTCGCTGCAGCTGGAGGAGAAGATCAAGTGGGGCGAGGGCTTCGCCGTGGTCTACTCGGTGACCGACCGCTGCAGCTTCGACGAGGTGCTGCGCCTCTGCTTCCTCGTGCGGCACCTGCAYGGCGGCGCCCGGCGCGCCGGCGAGCACCCGCCCCTCGTCCTCGTGGCCAACAAGAAGGACCTGCAGGGCGACCGCATGGTGGCCACGGCCGAGGGCGAGAGCCTGGCCAAGGCCCTGGAGCTGCCCTTCCTGGAGATCTCGGCGCGCGACAGCTTCGAGGAGGCGGCGGGCGTCTTTGTCGCGCTCTGCCGCGAGCTGCGCCGCCAGGGCCGCCTCTCGCCCGGCTCCTGCAAGCGCCGCGCGGCGCCCTCCAAACTCGTGGAGAAGATCCCCAGGATGCCGGCGAGCCCGGCCGCGCCGCCCGCCGGCCGCAGCCTCAGCTTCAACTCCTTCCGGGACTACGTGCCCGAGTGAGCGCCGGCCCTTCCCGAGGCGAGCGCGGGCGGCGCGAAGGGGCGCCCGGCCCCGCACCTTCCTCCTCCTCGCTCCGCTCCCGCCCCGCGCGCTCCTCCCTGCATCGCTGTTCTGCAGAGAAAAAAAAAAACCCACAAAAACAACCACAAAGAAAGCACTTATTACCACTGCAGCTTTAATTTTGTGTTTTGTCCCCCCGGGGCGGGGGCGCTGGGAGGGCTCTGCCCTGGCGCCCTGCGGCCCTGGCAGCTCCTCTTGGCCGCTCCTCGGCAAGGGAGGACACGAGGTCCCTCCCCGGAGCTGGCGGCCCCGAGCGGTGCTCCACGTTTGAGCCATTTGTTGGGTTTTTAGGCAGGCTTGTCCTCCTTTTGGGGCTGCTTTTGCTTTTTCTTCTTTTTTCTTGTTTTTGTCAGGGTTTCGCAGCTCTCCTGCCGCCTGCGGGCAGCCAGCAGATGGGGATGTCGGCTCGCTGCGCCCGGCGGCAGGGCAGCGTGCCCGGAGAGGCCTTTCGCGTCTTGCTTTTGGCAAACCCACGCCTTTCCCTGTTCCTCTTTTTTTATTTATTTTAGAAGGAATTAAGAAATAAAGCAAGCCGAGAGGCTCTGCGGTGCACCCGGCGCGTGTCGCCCATCCCTGCTGAGTCAAGGCGTCGGGAAAATATTGATAGAGAGGGCCGGCCCTGGTGGAGTGCCTTCCTTTTTTATATAAATATATACATATGTGCGTATATATAGGTAGTTCTGCTGTATTCAAAGCAGTGCTCAGAAGCAGCGGTGCTTCACAGTGCCCCAGCGTCTCCRTTGAGTAGCTTCTCAGGTGGCTCGTAGCATCGAGCCGCTGCCGCTTGCACCGGCCGAAGTTTGAATTAATTCTTTTTTTTCCTTTTTGGCTATTTCCCTTGGAAACACAACGCGGGCGAGGGTGAGGGCGCGCGCTCACCGTGTCTTAGGTGTCGCTTCGGGCCGCCTGCGGATCAAATAGCAGGTCGCCGGGAAGCATGAGCCGCTCCGCGCCGCGGCAGCAGGGAGACGCTGCCGGAGGGAATTCCACTCCGCTTCCTCGCTGCGAGGAGGGACGCGCGGTTTAATCCCGTGCCTCGCCGTGGGCGCGCGGGGCTGGGCCATGGCGCCGGCGGGCTGGGAGGCGCCGTCGGGCGAGC